AATGCTTAGGTTAAGAATAGATATGCACTTGGGGAAAGGAAAATATTACTATCTTCCTTCCCTCAGGCAGAATGGGCATAAACCGGAGGCTGTGAAATCTATCTGTACTTTTCTGTCTGTTCTTCACATTGCTTCACAATCCCATGGCCAGAAAACTTTCCCAGATTTTCTATTTTCCCCTAATAAATGGTAGAGATAGTTGTTTGTCTTCTGTGTCAGTCCTAAGTTTGGTAAATGTATCTTCATCATCCTTTCAGGGTAGTTGTAAACTCCTGGAAGTTAAAAATGGTTCATGAACTCAGTTAAGTATGTTTTTAGCAGGGCAAGGTAGAAATGAAGGACAGAATACAATGCTCATATCTTAGGCTTTGTCGTGCTGCCAAAGGGGAAGAAGAATGAGTGGGTATGAAAAAGAGTCAATAGAATGATAGATAGATAGACAGGCAGATAGGTAGATGGATGAGAGATGATAGAATCTCTTTCCTCTCATCTATCAGAGAAAGAGAGAAAAATTTCCATGGATCAGCTTTTGCCATATGAAAGATGGTGAAACTCAAAGGAATCTGTAGGGTCAGGAGGTCAGCCAACAGGGTGGAAGCCTAGGGAAGTCAATGTTGGGACTGAATTCAAATGCTTTCTGGCAGAACTCCCCCTTACTGAGGGAGACCAGTACATTGATTCAGACAGACATTGGGTTTATTGGACAAAGCTCACCTACATTCTTGAGAGTGACCTCTTTACTCAGAGTCCATCAATTCCGATGTTGATCTCATCCCCAAACATCCTCACAGAAACAAGCTGAGTCACATCTGCTCACAAATCTGTGCTCTGCAGGCCTGTCAAATTAACCCATAACCCCTAACACCTAAGACACTGGTTCTCAATCTCCCTAATGCTGCAACCCTTTAATACAATCTCTCATGTGGTGACTCCCAACCATAAAATTATTTTCATTGCTACTTTGCTACAGTTATGGATGGCAATGCAAGTATCTGATATGCAGGCTGTATCTTCATTGTTACAAATTGATTCAAAGCAAAGCAGTTGGGACTCTCAGGCTGAGAACCACTGATCTAGGGGAAACACTGGCTGGATTGAGCTCCTGAAGGGAAGAAATCTGCATTCTTACAGTAGTAAGGTACAGAGTTCCCTCTTTGAACTTCTAGGTTAGAAGTGACTCTGAGCATGTCTGCTCAGCATTAATTCCCTCAACTTTCCTGAAAGCCCATTTCTGGCCTCTTTCATCTAGGAAGTCCTCAGTTCTGGGATTAAAAGTGGGGACTCACATCAGAATCAGAACACTCTTCCTAAAGACCTGCCTTCCTTCCCTGAAGCAAAGGCTGTCTGCTGAGAACCCTCTCAGTAAGCTTCAAGAACAAGAATGCTTAGCTGCCAAGAACAAAACAGGCCTGTCACCAGACATGTGGTTAATTACATCACAGTGGAGTGATGGTGCTCACTTTATGGTGACCAGGAAGCAAAGGACAGAAGACAAAAGGAATAGGCATAAAATATACCCTTTAATGGCTCACTCCTGATAACTTATACACTACAACTAGGCTCCACCCCCTAAGGTATCTACTACCGCCAAGTTACCCATTGAACCATTAAGAGTTAATCCTAATAAGAGGTCAGAATTCTCATGATCCAATCAACCCAAAGCTCCTGGGACTCTCAGAAGATCAGTAGAAAATGAAAGAAAAATAGACAACTTTTATAGAGTTGATTCCATGTGCCCTGGCAGTCTGGAGGCTAAGGGATAAGGAAGATATCCACAAGATCAAGAAGAGAATGGGTTAAATAGCACAGGGCACTTGTAAACAGCTTTTGTGTCTCTGGTTTCAAAGGCTCATTCTGTTGTTTTCTGGCTGCAAGAGTTTGGGAAAATCACTTAACCCTTGCTGTTCCCACATCCTCATCTTCAAATGAAAGCTGCTTTAGCAGTGAGGCCCATGTGGAGATTTAAATGAGTCCCATGTTTGTAAATAATCACAGTGCTGCTCAGCAAAGAGCAACTTGCCCCCTAAATGTGGTTCCTTTCAAATCTCTTCTCCTAACCCTAGATCTTCAAAATCAGGTCAGTTGATACTTGCTTATAAAGACAACAAAGCATATTAGGGCACACTAGGACATCTAGAGAAAATGTTACATCTGCAGGCAAGCAAGAGTTGCTAAGGTTAAGTTAGCAAACAGAGTAGACTTAGGTATCCGGAACTCAAAGTGCTTGAAAACAGGTTGTTAGGGTTTCTCTTCTTTTGGGGGGTTGTGGAATACTTATCTACAAATAATGAACTATTTTGGGGATAGGACCTGATGTGGTTTGAATGAGATATATCCCTCATAGGCTCAAGCATTCCAAGACTTGGTCTCTAGTTGGTGGCTCTGTTTGGAGACATTATAGAGAGTTGCAGGCTTGCCAGAGTAAGTGCATCAGTAGGGTAGGCTTTGAGAGTGTTTAAAGCCTTGATCCACTTCCTGTTTGCTGTGTTGTATATTTATGGTTAAATACGTTAGCTCTCAACTTCCCTTTCTGCCAAGCCTGCTGCTTGCTGCCATGCCTCTGCCTACCATGATGGACTTTATCCCTTTAGAATCGTGAACCCAAATAAGCTCTCTTACCTTAGTTGTGGCGTTTGATCACAGCAACTGAAAAGTAATCAATATAGCCAAATCTAAAACCATGAAATTTCTATATTGCGTGTGTATGCCTGCTCGTATTTGGATGTGTTCATCCTTGATGTGTGGAGGTCAGAAGCAAACATTTGGGCATTTTTCAAAAATGTAATATATATGGGTGTTTTGTATGTATGGATGGCTGGATGAATGTGTGTGTGTGTGTGTGTGTGTGTGTGTGCGCGTGCGCGCGCACGCGAACTGTGCTGTCTGGGTGCTAGGAATGGAATCCAGGTTCTCCAGAAGAGCTACAAGTGCTCTTACAGCTGAGTCATCCATCTCTCCAGTCCCTGGGATATCTTTGTAACTCACTTCTCTACCTTACTTTTTTGGGGGTGAGGTTTTCAGTTAGACAAGCTGACCAGTGAGCCTCTGGGATCTGCCTGTCTCTGTCCTTAACCCTGGGTTTACAGGCACACACTTACATGCCTGTCCTTTTAAATGGGTTCTGGGCACCTAAACTCAGTCCTTGTGCTTGCATTCAAGAACTGGACTATTTCCCCAGCCTTCGTTTATGATTCCTAAAGATTTTAAGTGTGTGTGTGTGTGTGTGTGTGTGTGTGTGTGTGTGTGTGTGTGTGTTACTACCATGTGCTTGGGAGGAAACATACTATGGGTGCACATGGCAGAAAGGACAGAAGCAAGAATTCCCTATCCAGTCATTCACAAAAGCTGTGCCCCCATTGTATCATCACCTCAGAAAGGTAGTCTACCCCTTGACACTATCACACTGAGGATGGAAGCTCAACAAATGAATAGACCTTCCAGGCCACTTCCCCCAGGGGCTCCTGCTAGCCTTGCCCCAGGCAGGCTAGCATGACTATATTCCCCTTCTGTTCCTCAGCACAGCTCCTACTTTGTGCTGATTGAATATTGTCTTTATTTTGGGATTTCATATTGCCAAATTTCGTGTAAGCCCCCGCCCCCAACTTAATTCCAAAATCTCCAAGAATCTATCTTTTCCTTCAGGATGATTTTGAAGTCTTCACCATTCTACCATCAGACACCTGACTTAACCTTTAGAACATGTACCCCCAAAGTATCCGTTTTCTGTCTCAGATCTTGGCCACGGGTTAGCTTCAGCCTTCAGCTCTAATACACAACCCAAGGCTATGGTAAAAACATGTTCCTTAGAGTTTGTAGGAACAAAGCTACAAACCAACACAAGCATATTACAAATCCCCAGGCAATGAAGACGCTTCATGCTTTCTCTGGGATTCAAGTCAGGCTGTGCTGTGTATTTGATATAGGTTGTTATCATGGCCCTTGGCTGATTGAGTTCACAAATTTAAACTTAAAGGCCAAATTTCAGAAAACATTTTCACACTATGACTCCAAATCAGGAACAAAATCAACAAGGTACAAAAGCATTGTAGAATAGAGTACAAAAATCTGAAATCTGACTTCTTCCTTGAGCCTAAGCTATGTAAACTGTGCTGCCTAATTTAAAAAGCCTCCATGTCTTTGCATGTGTTAGTAATCTAGTAATTATTCCATGCTTCAGGTTTGATTGATGATGAGTAGTTTCGTCTGTTTTCCCTTTTTTGTTTTCCAGCCTGGATGACTTAGATTTCTATTCAAGGGAATTGCAATAACTTACTAGTTTGAAACTATAATAAAACAATCATCTCATTAAATGAATTACATTTCTCTCTCACATAACCCCCCTCAGGGCTTTGTGAATCACAATTTAGAGGTTGTAAGTACCTCTAGGCAGAGGCGCCTCCCTTCTAAAACAAACACACCCCTTTTAATGCCTTTAATCAGCAGAGAAACTGCCCCTGTCATCCCCATCTCTCCCAACAACCTTATCACCATTTTGTTTTTGTTTTTCCTGGATGGGGGGATTTGTTTTATATACACGCAGATAAACAAACACAGGGAATCTGGCTGGACAGACAAAAAACATACTCAATACTTAGAACTCTAAACCTTGAATTGGAGGACCCGTGCTCCAATACTCAGGGACAGTCTGTGACATTTCATGTACAAGCCTGCAACATTTGAATGGGGTCTTTCCTGGCCTCTATGGCAAGCACAGACAGGCTAACTCGCTAGGCGGTTCTTAAAGATCTAAAGACCAAATGTTGTGTCCTGGACACTCATGTGGTGACATTCAGGGGTATGTGTGTGTGGGAGGGGCAGGGGAGGTATTTGTGTATTTGTGTAGAAAACGGCTACACAATCTTTTTGCAACAGTGAGCTTGTGTGAAAGAACTCAAGGGAGTTACTGTCAGTTGACAGAGGGCCAGCGAAGGTGATGGTTGGATACCTTCTGATTCTAGATCGATACATCAGTGGCCAAAGAATGTCTGGGGTCTAAAGCATGCCTTCAAACACTTCCCATTATTAAGGACAGCTGAACCTTCTTCCGCAGAGCAGATAATGTTTTATTCCACTTCAATTACTTCACATTTTGGTCTTCCTCTCTGAGCTAGGAGGGGGTAGGGAGGTATAAAAAGCTCTATTGCTTTAGGATTCTTTGATGCATCTTCATCGTAGTTCATCTAGGCTTTTCCACTCCTTTGAATTCCAGGGTCACTCTTCTGCAGCTTCCCTGATATTTTTCTGGCGAGGCGCTGGCAGGCTTGCCCAGCTTCCCAGTTCTCTTCCCCGGACACAGGCCGCGACCAGCGACCCCTCTGAAGGCCAAAGTTCGGGGAACCGGGAGATAGGGCGCGGGCTCCTCCACGCTCCTCAAGCGCCGCTCATTCTGGATGTTCACCCTAAGCTCGGGCTCCTTCCCACCCGTGCTTGCAGTTCCAGGCTGGCGCTCCTTGGCTCGCCGAGGGCCCTGCGCCACCGAGGGCCGACGGCCCAGCACGATGGGGCGGATGGACTGAGAGGAGCGCCAAGACACCGTGATCGGGGAGGTGGCAGCGGAAGAGGCCGGGATCGCGGTGGGCGGTGGTGGGGGCCGGTGCCGGGGCTGTGGCGCTAGCTGGACGCTCGGCGAGCCCGGCCACGCCCAGCCCTGCGGGATGGCGCCCACGCCGCCGCTCAACACGCGCCCCCAGTGGCCACTGGAGTAGAGCCAAGCCTCCTCCTCCGCGTAGCTCTCCGGGGTGCCACCTTCGGGTTCTGAGTCGGGCTCCTGCGAACAGACTGGGGACGGCGGGGGAGTGACCGGGGCACGGAAGCAGGGGAACAGGAGCACGGCGCGCAGCCGCCGCGCGGGAGAGCAGTAGGGCAGCCGGAGAGGCAGCGACATCTGCGGGCCGGGCCGGGCCGCGCGGGGCTGCGGGGAGGCCGGCCCTGTGCGCGCTCACGTGCCGCGCGGCTCTGTCACGGCCATGGAGGGACCCGGCTTCCAGTCGCCTCCGGCCTCGGGAAAGTTGGCCGGACACTTCTGAGCCTCCACCCGCGAGTCACGAGGTGGAATGGAGACCCCGAGGCCACTGCACCAGGTGGCGTGGGAGGGTCCGGTTCGCAGGGGGAACCAGTTTCAGCGGGAGCGGCCAGTGTGAGCCATTGACACTTCAGTCTCGGGAAGGGTTAATCGGGTCCTGCCGCCTAGGTTTACATGTAAATAGAGAGCTGCTGCTCCGCGCGGGCCCGGGCTGGCTCTTTTAAGTTTTTGATTGGTTGCCAATGACATCACCGCCCGCGTTCTAACACACCAAACCCACAAGCGCGTCTGAGCGGGCCTCCTTCCCGCGACGAGGCCACGCCTTTCTCTCCGCCCCCTCGACCGCCTATTGGCCACAGGCCACTGTGAGGTAGCGGGCGGCGGTCTCTGGATCCTCATTGGCGCAGTGCGACGTCGCTCGGCGGCAGCCCCGCCCCCTCAGGAGCTTACATTTACGCTGTAGCAAAAGAGAAAGTAACTCTGTGTTGCTGCTGGGGATCAATGAAGCTGAGTGAATGGGGGCGCACTGCACGAGCGCATAGCTGGAGCGGGCGCCAGATGGTGGAGGGCTACGCTTATTGATGAAGTAAGTGGAAGTCATCACGGCCACTCAGAGCCCTAGGCTGAAGGGTCCCGTGTGTGGTGTGTGTGTGTGTGTGTGTGTGTGTGTGTGTGTGTGTGTGTGTGTGTGTGTGTGACAGAGAGAGAAATGCACATCAGGTAAGGAAAGGTCCTAAGGTTTAGACTTTTGGATCTGGTTGTCCTGGGATGAAGGGGGGGGGTGAGTTTTGGTGCTGTTAAGATGCTTTGTGGCAGTTTTCAAAGCCCAAAGCTTAGCTGATGCTCAGTGGTGGCGAGGAAGGGGGATGCTAAGTGCCCCAGGAGTGGGGAAGGAGCATTCTCTAACCACTTAGGTTTTGTTTTTTTTTTTTTTGTTTTGTTTTTTGTTTTGTTTTGTTTTTTTCCTTCTTCAGTCCCTGTTCAGTGGTAGAAGGGAGACTAGTGAGGAACAGGGTAAGGGAGAAGCGCTATTTTTGAGGGAGGTTTCCCGGGGCCAGACTGGATGGCTTTGGAGCTATCTGCTGCAAGGATGCAGATCTCGGTGCACTCCGTGCCTGTGTGCGAGCCGCGCACTCAGTCTGGAGGTGCTGGTACCAGCCTGTCTCTGGGAACACGTTCTTGGGTCCTACTCCTAGGGAATGGGCTACTGATCCAGGACGTCCCCTACCAGGTAACATAATAGCAAAGACTTTGACTGCATCCATGATATAGCTGGGACACGGTTAAGCGTCTGGAATAGTACTCGCTCTGAAAAAAAAAAAAATACTACGCAAGGGAGACAGGGAGGGAGGTGGGGAGGGAGGGACGGAGGAAGGAAGGGAAGAAGGCAGGAGGTTGGATCCTTTGCTCTCATCCAAAGGTGGGTGAGAGAAACCCGAGTCAGTGGGGATATGCCGACACGGGTGGGTACGTGCTCCTGTTTGTGCTTGTGTGGATTCCGCTGGTGACACTTTGGCTCGGTGTCAGAGAATGGTGACAGTTGTGAGTAGACCACTGATCCATGTTTTCCCAGACAAATCTTAAAGTTCGTTTAGGTGAGTGGCTCTTGCTTGGGGTTTGATTTCTTTGCTGTGTACATGTCTAGTAGAGGAGTCAGAAGGGCTGTGTTGCAGAGTGGCCCTGTGCCTAGGAGGAGGAGGGAAGTGACCGACCCATTGCAGGCACCCTTGGGGAAAGGCAGAGGTAAACCCTGTGGGCACCACTTCCCAGCTTCCTAATTAGCCATCCTGGGGTGAAGGGGCAAATGAAGTTGCCTTCATGGAATCCATGCTGTCTCCAAGGGACATGAGTATGAGAATGAAAAAGAAAAAATCTTTTAGAGTTGCCACTCCAATGGAAATGCAAAGTCTGTACAACCCAGATGAAATCCAAACCGTTATTTGCTTAGGGGCAAAGCACAGGGAGGGGTCAGGGTGAGTGGGGCCAGGGAAGGATGGTCATGATGGGTCAGCACCCTGGGTTGGGGTTCCCAGACCTTACTCCTTCCAAGACTTGGTTTTAGGACAGTTAATCATAGTGAAAGGAAGACATGCGGGTTGGTTTGGAAGTGGCTCACAGAGGACAGGAGAGCTTTGAATAGGACTGTTGAGCTTTTCAAAGGGGTCACCAGAAAGGAAAGCAAGCAAGATTAGCTCCTAGCCCTGGAGACTGACTTAGGAAGACACGTTCCTTCCTGATTTGCAGAAAGTTGACATCTGCCCTAATGCAAATTTAGCTGCCATGTATTTCTGTGCATCTCTGTGAGCTTGTGCAATTCTCTTGCACCTCTCTTTGCCTTGGCAATGGGTACAGAAATGAAATAGAATGCATTGCCAGGGTGGGCAAACATATCCATCACAGGTGAAATAGACTCCTGCCCAGAGGAGCCCAGAGGAGGCTAGGAATAAATCTAAGAGCCTCCCTGTCTGTCTTCATTGTTCCCAGTTCTCTGTGCCTTTACCTTGGTGAAGGCTGAACTTTGATTCAGTCTGCGAAAGGATGCCAATGACCATTTCTAACCTCACTTCCTATTTTAACTTTCAACTTAGCATCAGAATAGATGGGGTCCCTTAAGGATGCATCCTCTCTGAATACATCAAAGTGAATTTCAGGCTTTGATGCTATCATGACCAAGGGCACATAGGAGGACATTGCCTTTGCTCAGAGATATGCAGGAGCCTTTCCCAGGGATTGGATGAGACTGTCTTTTGTGTCACATGACTTTATTCTTTCTTTCCTTCTTCCCCTTCTTTACAGACTCTTGAGTTCTTCTTGAATTGCCAGTTCTCAGCCTCCTCATGCCTCCATCTCCTCTAGAGGACAGGGTAGTAGTGACACTGTCTAGGCCTGTCCGACCTCAGTATCTCAACCTTTGTTTAGACTCTAGCTACCTTGGCTCTGCCACCCCAGGCAGCAGTAGCCACTCTCCTGTCATTGCCACCACCGTTGTGACCCTCAAGGCTGCGAACCTGACGTATATGCCCTCATCCAGCGGCTCTGCCCGCTCCCTCAATTGTGGATGTAGCAGTACTAGCTGCTGCACTGTGACAACCTACGACAAGGATCACCAGACCCAGACTCAAGCCATTGCCGCTGGCCCTGCCACCACCGCCATAGGAACCTCGACCACCTGCCCTGCCAACCAGATGGTCAACAACAATGAGAACACAGGCTCTTTAAGTCCATCGGGTGGGGTGGGCAGCCCTGTGACAGGGACTCCCAAGCAGCTAGCCAGCATCAAAATCATCTACCCCAATGACCTGGCAAAGAAGATGACCAAATGCAGCAAGAGTCACCTGTCCAGCCAGGGTCCTGTCATCATTGACTGCAGGCCTTTCATGGAGTACAATAAGAGTCATATCCAAGGAGCTGTCCACATTAACTGTGCGGATAAGATCAGCCGGCGGAGGCTGCAGCAGGGCAAGATCACTGTCTTAGACTTGATTTCCTGTAGGGAAGGCAAAGACTCTTTCAAGAGGATCTTTTCCAAAGAAATTATAGTTTATGATGAGAATACCAATGAGCCGAGCCGAGTGATGCCATCCCAGCCACTTCACATAGTCCTCGAGTCCCTGAAGAGAGAAGGCAAAGAACCCGTGGTGTTGAAAGGTAATGATCCCCAACTCCTTTCCCAAATACTGTCCTGATCAGCTAGGTTCCCTCCTGAGATTCTCTTAGAAGTGACAGCCTTCTCACCTCCCCCCCCCCAAACACCATGAACCAAAATAGTCTTTCTTGTCTTTTCTTCTACCCTCTTCTTACTATTTCATGCAGTAATAAAATCTAAGTAGCGATGCATTGATATCCAGATCTGAGCTCCAAGTCTTGATCTGACTTCTGTGTTGCTTAAGACATTTCACCTGATAGGGTTTTCAAAAGGCACTTTGTACAACTAAAGTGTTATCTCAATTCATGGCTTCTCTGGGAGCTCTATTTCAGCCTGTGAGTGGTTGGAAAGTCTTGTTTCTCAAGAACTAATGTTGATGGCCCAGAGGAGGCAGTGTGTATATGGTACATATCAGATAAATCTGCAGGTGCCTGTTCTTCCTGTGAGAAATTCTTGCTGTTTCTCACCTATCTGATTGTTTTGACTTTCACATTGCTTATAAAGTTATCTTCAACAAAGACAGACATTTTTATTTTAAAGCTGCATTGAAATTGTGACTTCTCCAAATACATCCACTCCTCAAGGAAAGTTCCTGGGGGATGGAGATATGAACTGCTCTACAACCTTTTGTTCTTTCTGGTGTCATATGACAATTGGCTTCTGGCTCTTCCCAAGAAGGAGTTATGCATCACTTTCCCCTAATGTGATGATTGGAACCCCCAAAAGGAATGAATGATCCATTCTTCTCTGATCTTCTTCCATATAGTTTTGCCCTGACCTCATGCACAGCTCACTTGCTCATCTTTGTCCTCCAACACTGTCCTTTTGGGCTCTGAGCATCACTCTTCTGATAGCATCTACCTGGCCATCATGGAGAGTGATAACTATCTTTGTTTGCATTTTGAGCCATTGGGGAATAGGGTGTGTCACATCTCCAGCTAACATCCTAAAGCGTTGTTGATGGCCAGTGTTGCTAGGCTCTTCCCAGCACTTTTCACATTTAAGTTGGCACAGGCTGCTTAGGCCAACAAGGTAGGATTTGTCTTAGTGGGATAACTCTACCCATTCTCCTTCCCTCCCAAGTGATGTAGTCTACAGGGCTCTTAGAAACATGGTCAGGTCACCATGCTACCCTTGCCATGTTACATGCTTCCCTAATCCTTTGCTGTCTTTGCAGACACCTGTCACAAAGACATAGCTTTCCTTGGGGCTTGTGGGTTCAAAGTTCTACATGGTTCTGGCAGCTCAGGGCACTGTTATGATGGTGGCAATAAGTTTTCTTAGAGTCACAAATATGTCAGGGTTGTATGGTGTCGCTGTTCTTTACTACTGAATTCTTGTTTGGCTGCCTCTTAGAATACCCCAGTGGCTTTGACCCTGCTGCTTTTCTCCCAGCATGATCTTCTCTTGTCTCCTTTTGCAGATGAGAAAATACCATCTACAACAAATTCCCAACAGTAACAGTTTGTCTCAGTTAACCAAGACATTTGCTGGCTTTTATTTTTTTTTCCCTCCTGTAGTTGAGCTAGGTTTGGTAAAACAACAACAACAAAACAAACAAACAAACTAACAAAAAAACCCAGTCCTTTTTTATAGGTGATCTAAGAAGAGGTAGCATAAACCTCACTTTTTGATGACTCTGAACTAGAACCTGGGGCTGATTGGGAGGTGTAGTAGATCTATCCTCTCTCTTGCTATGAAACTTGGTGGGTGAAGGGTTGGCCCATCAGTTGCTGAGAAATGTCTCTCCTGGGGACCAGTATCCTCTCCTGTAGACATATCTGAGGATCCCTGAGCCTGGGCTTGCTCATCAGTGTCAGAGTAAGACTGCCTCAGTGGGGCGGGGCTGGGCATGCTGCTGACCTCACCACCAGGCGCCCTGGGCAGCTGCGCTGAGGTCTCGTCATTTCGGATTGGTGCGACACCGTGGCGGCCAGCTTGGAAGACGCTCTGGTGGTAGAGGTTGGGTTATTTGTAGTTTTTTTGGGGGGGATTTTCCTTCAAATATCTTGGGTTTTGGTTGAAAATATGTAGTTCATGATCTATTGTTTTCTCTGGTATCATTATTAGTTTGGTACCTTTGGGAGGAATGGCCGGCCTGAAATCAGGACCAAGTTAGGGAAGGGGAAATGGAGGTGAGCTATTGAGTCTCTGTTATCCTCTAGTCTGGTCAAACCAGAGTGCCCTGGAGGTGATGGATGAGGTGCATGTCTCTCAACAAGCATGGTGTGCAGCTTCCCCGAAGTTCTTGAGTGGATGGAGCAGACCATCTTGGTCTGGCTCGTCTTCTGAGGTTTATTTTAAGACTCCCCTTGTTGGTGATCTAAGATTATATTTCAGCTAGTTCAGGAATGGTACCATTTTGGAATGAGTGAGTTTTGTAGGGAGCATGCGGCTGCTGGGGTGGGAGTAGATGTTTAGAATATATGGTCGGAAGTCCCCAGGCCTTGTTGATTTATTTTCAGAGATGCCTGATCCATCTGAGACTCTGGTTCGTGTTTGTAAACACTGGTTGCTACCCTCCCAGTCCAACTTTTATGTCCCTCACTCTCAATGCCATGTTCTCCATTTTTGGAGCTGCCAGTGGTGTGTGGGTTGCCATTTTAGTCAAGCAGTGTCAGGTTGGGGTGAAACTGATCAGAGGCACAGAAACCCTGGGTTAAGTTACTGTTCTAATTTATAGTCCCGCCCTGGTATGACCTAGGTCCAAGTCTGTGTCTCACTCTTACCCACTGAAGGGTATATATCAGACCCTTGCTTCTGGTCAGTTTCATCTGAGTTATTCAAAAGAATAAATCTTTAGGGATTTAGACTTTGAAAGAGCTGACCCCTTTCCCACCTAATGTTGGTTATTTTCTGCAACTTGGTTTATGGCCTAAGAAAGATGACTTGACAATCCTTGACCTTCTAACATGAGAGCTCTGTCTTTGCGGCCATGGTTCCTTCCTTTTCAACAATGCTGGGTTCAAGAAACTTATTTGCCCTTTATGTAAGAGGGAAGGGCAAGTCTCCTACCACACTCTCCCTCAGAGCAATTTAGGCCTTTTAAATTTAATGATGCAAAAATTTCAAACATTTAGAAAAGTATTAGAGTGTACGATGAATACCTTTAAACCTACCAATCAGATTAAATGTGTATTTTCCCTATTTGCTTTATCTTGTTTTTGAAATATTCTATATCATAGACAGTAGTTTAGAGTTTAAGGCTTAGAATTAGCATTTTATGTTTAATTGAGCTGGGAATATTTTACAGGTGGTAAAGACATTTTTTCCTGCTAAATACTTAGTGTCATACACCTGCCCATGAGTATTCTTCAAATGTGGAATGCCACTGTTTGTGACTGACTTTTGAGTCTGAGGAAAAGCTTTCCTCCCCCTTCAGGAGACCCCTCAAGGCATCTCCCTGCCTGTGCAGTGGAATGTCAGTGGCCAGGCCTGTACATGCTATGCTGCTACAAAGCAATGATAGAATGTCCACTATGGCGTTTTACATCTCTGCTCTCTACCAGAGACTTTTTGAAGGGGTTGAGGGTGTGTGTGTGTGTGTGTGTGTGTGTGTGTGTGTGTGTGTGTGTGTCTGAAGAAGACTGAGAAGTCACTTATACAATTGGTACAGGAGGAGGAGAGACACAAGGAATTAGATTAATATGAAAAACTTCTATTCTCTGTGCATTTTCATTTTCATGTTAGAAATATTTTCTATTAAAATATACAAACATGGTTGCACTAGTTGACAATATAAACATGACATGTACATAAAAATCTAGTCTTAAAAAATATGTAAGTTCATGTTACATATACCCCTTCCAAAGCTCCCAAGCCTTCCTTTTTAACTCCTGAACAAAGGGCAAAGTTGGGCTAACATTTTCCCTTGGTTACAACAGATTCTGAAATAGGTGTTAGAAAGTAGTGCCAAGTTGCACGACACTGAATGGCTATGCTCAGAAATTGGAGACCTTGTGAAAATATTCTTACTCTGCTTTCTTCTGGGGGAGAACTGTATCCCCCTTTCTTTGTCTGGGATATAATGATGCTCTTTTAAGACACACCTACATTTCAAACCTATATTATTCTTGTTATTCTGAATTTCCGATTAATGCTCAAGGCTAAATGCCGAACACTAGATTGTAAGAAAACATGGAGAAATATAGGAAGAACGGTGAATCAGTAGGCCTGAGGTCTCTTGGTTCCTCCATTCAGTGTCCTTGGGTAAGTTGCTTAAGTCTTAGATCTCTGGCTTCCTCATTTGTAAAAGGAGGACACAACAGCACTTAGGAAAGTCTCTCTCTCTCTCTCTCTCTCTCTCTCTCTCTCTCTCTCTCCCTCCCCTCCCTCTCTCTCAATATCTCTCAATATCTCTCTCTTCTCTCCATCTCTCTCAACCTCTCTCTCTCTCTCTCTCTCTCTCTCTCTCTCTCTCTCTCTCTGTGTGTGTGTGTGTGTATGTGTTGCTAGGGCCTAAAAATAGCTTGATGACTGTTACCTAATTTAAGTAGCATACAGTTGTGCCAAGTAATTGCAAAAACATGTTGGGTCAAGAGGTTGAGTAATTTGGGCATACCCTAGAATTATTTTTTTGTAGGGGAGTTAAGGAAAATGGGATGATAAATCTGTCCCGCTAATGTCCTGGATAGTGAAAGTATAAAAGTTTTCAACTTTGTTTTCTCTGGCATCTCCTTGATTTATTTTTGGAAGAAGGATTATAGTCTGACTATAAAAGGGTAGATGGGAGGAGGAGGGGTTGTGGGCTCTGCAGCCCTGCCTGAGTGGCATAGAGGAGCTGGAGTATGAGGGAAGGAGAAGGGGAGTTGATGCTGCTCATTTTTTGGAGTGAGTCTCCCTGAAGGACCACAGATCTGTGAGACCTCCCGCAGCCTCATCACAATGCAAGTGAAAGATTAATGGACATGAGCACTGCTCCCTCTGCTCCTTAGTTAGGTTTTCCCATGAGACTACAGGGCACATACGTAAGGAGCTTGAGTGGTCCTCAAGGGTGATCTCT